ATGTCCATAACTTGAAAAATTGAAGTCTGAATCAGCTCAAACTTTCTACACAGCATAAGGACATCAATTATGTATCAAAAAATGTAATAAAAATTTGGGGTGATTTTGGAGCCATTTTTTGAAAAAACCATGGGCTATAGCCTTGGGTAATTTTCAAAAATTGGCCAATTCTAAAAAATGGCCGTAACTTGAAAAATTGAAGTTGGAATCAGCTCAAACTTTCTACACAGCATAAGGATATCATTATGTATCAGAAAATGTAATAAAAATTTGGGGTGATTTTGGAGCCATTTTTCGCAAAAAAACATTGACTATAGTATAGCCTTGGTTATTTTTCAAAAATTGGCCAATTAAAAAGCATCTATAACTTGAAAAATTGAATTTGAAATCAGCTCAAACTTTCTATACAGCTAGCATAATGGCATCAATATGTTGTTTACCTGTTGGAGGAACCATCAAGATGTGTCTTAATAAAGAGAGAGAGAGAAAGAGGAGGAGGAGTAAAGCAATAAGAGACAGAGCTGCTAGCAGTTTAGATGTCTTCTCTCCTGATGTAGTACTGCCTGACTTGCTGTCTACTGCAGCCTTGAATGAGTGAGAGTGGCGGCCATTAGCTGGTCTACTGGAGGTAGTTCCACAGTCCAATACTTGCTCAGTCTCCATTGAGAGACATCAATCATCTTGTAATTATTAGTAAAGTATAATAAAAATGAAGTGTAATACAATACTTACCTCTATCACTGTTAATGATCAACTGTTGTAAGTTGCAAAAGGTGTGGCTACCTATGCTAGCCACACCTTTTAATTAGTAATAATTTTAGGTTCAATTATTCTTGTTTTTGTTGTGTCTTTATTGTATTTTTATAGAATCTGAGAGTGTCTAATGAAATTGTCTCAAGTATCACATGATGATTGTTTGATCACATAACTTGTTATTAACTACCGCCAATGGGAGTGTCTCTGGCAACTTTGAAGTAAGAAACCACACCTACTTATGATTTCATAATAATAGCGTTTAATTGATCAGAGTATATCAAACTAATCCCAGTGTGTGTGTGTGTGTGTGTGTGTGTGTGTGTGTGTGTGCTATGTAGACATTAAATTGTATGCATATTTTGTTTATTTATTTTTGTTTATTAATTTATTTTGTTTATTTTATTTATTTATGTTTTATTTAATTGATTATGAAGTGACGCAAATGAATGAAGAATTAAGTGAAATTGAAAATTATAAAATTTGTTATACACCTCCCTCCCTCCCTCCCTCTCTCCCTCCCTCCCTCCCTCCCTCTCCTCCAGTGCATGAGTTGGAGGAGTTACAGGATAAACACAGTACAAGACCTGATGTGTTTGATGATGTTGAAGAAGAACACAACATTGACATACTAACTGCTGAAATATCACAAGTAATGATTAGTTATACATGTACATGTATATCTCAACAAATGAACCAACCAGTTCATCACTAAGGCCAACCAGTGAATTTATATTAATACCCATACATAAAGCATGATATTGTTCATAAATTTAAAAGGAAAATATTAGTCTCCGAACACCTCTAATTTTTTCTAGGCTGAATCCTGGTACATGTACTTTAATGCAAAGCTAAATTTAGCCATTTCCTACATACTATAGTCATTATAATTATTATAATATTTCTCTCTCTCTCTCTTCTCTCAGATGTTCAGTAGGGCTAAGCAAGGATTATTAGTAATTAACAGACAAGCTAAGAATGGATCAGATCAGGAAAAGAAAGTTGCTAAGAATGTTGTATCATCACTAGCAATCACACTACAAGATTTATCAGTGGATTTTAGGAAAGCGCAATCGTCTTTTTTAAAAAGTAAGAGAAACAAAGGGGGAGAGTTTTAGATGGTTGTAATTCGAGTATTAGTAACGCGGTAGCGTTACTAAGTAGGATTCACCCCACTTCAAAATGGCTGCCACGACTTTTGCAGCCTTGCTATACCTGGAAAACGAGCTCCTATGCTTACCAGACTTTATAGAGGACCTTATCTTGACCAGAGGACTCCATTGGTACCACTAGTGTGGCTCTAAACCTTGTCTGAGAGGAAAGTCAAAAATCCGGAAAACGGCCATTTTGTTCAGCCACCTTTTTTCATCTTCATCATCATCATCATCATCAAGTCCTGTCAATCCAGTTGTCGGTCTGTATCTCAACTTTGCTTGGTGATAGAAGGCTAATTCTTACACCATTCTACTCCAATAATGCATGCGCAGGTCCCTATTCTTTATGACAATTCTCCAACAAAGGAAGAAGTTGTACTATCACTGCTGGATCGGACCCATCTGAGCTGCATGCCGCCATTTTATTAATTAAAGAAGCATGTGCTCCAAAATTTGGGTGTGGTCGCGCATGCTGGGTGTGGTCGCGCATGCTGGGTGTGGTCGCGCATGCTCAGATCTGCAACTCTGGAAGAAGCAAGCAAATGAAGCTACACACCCAAGATAGTGATGGGCGATATGGCCAATTTTCTTAATTTTCGATAACGATCGATAATGGACTTTTTGAGGAAATATCGATTATTAACGATACGATAACCACACCTTCATTTAGGGGTGTGTCAAGGGTGTGGCTAATGATTTTGGCACTGTACTGGACATGAGAGAAGATCATTTCCATGCTCTTGAGCCTTGGTTCTCTTCTTATTGGGGTAGGCTGAGCTAACAACTGGTCAGTTGCCTCTTTCTTGCAGTTCAACAGTGCAATTACTTATTAAAATTAGTTATTTAACCTTAATAAATGGGCGTGGTCAATAGATCGATGAAAATTGCATAAAATTTTCGATAATGATTCAAATCGATTCCGTAAAATATCGTTTATATCGATAAAGAATCGATATATCGCCCATCACTAACCCAAGAGTTACCATGCATGATCCGTGAATGATGGGTATCAGGCCTGGACCAGGTTTGATTCTATAACGGTCCAGCATCGACGGCCATCACTGCTGAATCGAGGCTGTTGCTCTGGCCTGGACCAGTATCTATTTCAGTCCCGATGTAGTCATAGCTGATACAGTAATGTCTGTTCGTCAGCACTGGTCCAGGCTGTATATCAGTACTGGATCAGATCGATGCTTTTCAAGATGGCAGCCCCGCGTGGACTATCTGACATGTTTTGTTAAAGAAAATCATCTTAATCTGACTCTTTAAGAGAAATCTCGTTGGCTGTATACACTAGGGCTAAATCACTGGATGTTATGTGAGTACCGTGGACTACATTAAATGTT